TTGTTTTAGTCTGCAGTGTCTCTCATGTTCTTTGATTCTGGTGTGGATGCTGCGTTTCGGGGTTCCAATATATACCTGGCCACAACTGCAAGGTATCCAGTATACACCTCCAGTGGTGAGGGGGTCCCTTTTGTCCTTTGCTGACTGTAACATTTGTTGTATTTTTGTAGAGGGCCTGAATACTCTTTGTAGGTTGTTTTTTTTTTTCAGACTTTTCCCTATGTGGTCCATGACCCCTTTGATGTATGGCAGAAATACTTTACTTGTGGGTGGCTGTTTTTCCTCTTCAGTTTGGTGTTGTTTTCTTGGTTTGATGGCTCTTGTGATTTCATTCTTGGAATAGCCATTTGCCTGTAGGGCCCAATTCAGATGGTTGAGTTTGGTGCTGAGAAATGGAACTTCACAGTTCTGATTTGCATGGTCTATGAATGTTTTGATTATGCCTCTTTTTTATTGTGGGTAGTGATTGGAGTTTCTGGGTAGGTACCGGTCTGTGTGCGTGGGTTTTCTGTAGCTCTTGTGTCCCAATAGGAGGTCAGGTTTGCGTATGACCATGATATTAAGAAACGGAGTTGGCCCTCTGTTTCTTTTTCCATTGTGAATTGTATATTTGGGTGGAAAATTGGCAGTAGCTGAACATGCCCTGAAACAAGCTGGGCATGCAATTTTATTTCAAAACACAGAAGTACTGGACAAGTCAGTGATTAAGCATCCTGACATAAGAGTTCATCAGCTGGAATTGGGCAGAAGGGGTTTGCTTGTCAATACAGGGTCGGGCCTTTTTCCGAGGGTCCTACAAGGGGGCCTTCAGGCTGAAATGTTTGGCTGTGATGGCAGGCTTGACTCCATGCCATGGCGGGTAGTGCAAAGGGAAGAGTCGGAATGAGTTCATGGAAGACACGAGGTGCAAAAATATTCCATCTTCAGGTCAGGTGGTCCCAATGGGGCTGCTGACGAGAGGTGGTTTCTCCAAGGGGGGACCTCCCAGGCAGCAGTTCACCTAGAGCTATGAGGCTCTGTGGGCTGGGACATTGGGGGGGTAAACCTATCACCGGGAACCTGAATATGTGCTGTACAGATGACAGCACGATTCAGAAATAGGAACTCACCTTGCTCTTGAATGATGCAATGTAAAGGATACACTGGATTTGGAGATAATACTGCACTAGATTAGGCCCCCTTGTAGACTGGGGATGTATTTTAAATAGTTAATAAGGTTGTGGCCCAAGTTTTAACCCAACAATCTGTGTCTGCCTCTTTATTCTGGGCTGGGGGAACAAAGGGAAAATAGGATGGAATTTTCTGGCTTGAGAAAGGAAGTCAGCCCAGTCCATGTCTATATTCTTTTAGACTTAAAACTGTTCTATAGCGCAGCTTGGTATGAAAATGAATTTTGATACATGTGCTGGAGATGGTTACTCTAAAGATAACTTTAAAAACCCCAAACATTTTGCTGTTCTGCTTCTTCTCCTTTTGTGGTCAAAAAAAGGACCACACGTTTTTGCCTCTTCCCCCTTCCTTCCCATCCATAATCTCCCATTGTTCCCTCACCAGAACATCTTGGTTCCAGAACCAGCTTACCCAACATGTTTTGCTCTGAGTGAGACATCCTCAAAGCTCCGTGTTTGGGCCTAGAAGCCACTTTCATGCAGAAAAGGAAATCACCCATCAGGGTTGTCTAGAGAGCCAACCCTCTTGATGCCTCACACTGAGCATGAAAGTTTTCTGGCAAGTTGCGCTGGCCATTCAGAGTACCTATATAAAAATAGATTCTGAGCAACAAGAAGGCTCATGAGTCATGATGATGGTGCTCTGCTCTCCACTCTTCACCAAGTTCTATGATAGGATCAGATAGATGCAGCCATAGGTTCTCTCCCTTGAATCCCATCTCATTGGCAAGGCAATATGAAGCAGGGGTCACATATATCCATGATTTGCGGTCCAGGACAGGAGGGTGCCTGAAGCTGAAATTTTTGGGATGGTGCCCTTTTGCCCTGGTCAATGCATATGATGCTACTTATTCATAGAAGCACCTCCTTGTGAGTCAGTGAACCCTGGTGTCCAGAGCTGGTTCCCATTCCTTGAGACTTGAGGAAGAAACTGAGGGTGGCCTTTTGTGGTATCATGGGAGGTATGAAATCACAAGGTCTTGTGCAATGATTTCAGAATAACACAGGCTCATGTTTGCATAAGACAGTGTGCCAGTAAAAAAAACCCAAACAAATATGTATGCTAATACAGTTATTCGCAACTCCAGCTGAGACTAGGGAGATAGAGAATGGCCACATGTTAAAAACCATTGCACGTAATTCAAATCAAACTTCCTCCTTCCCCAGCATGGTTTGCCCTGGGATATGTCATGTTGCCTAGAGACCTGGGCAAACATAGGAATTCCCTGAGACCTCAGCCAGCAACTATGACCTTTCTGCTGAGGCCATTGGGATGGGTGGAGATGGATGTTGAGGTTTTAAAGCAGTGGTTCCCAACCTGGGGTCCCCAAATGTCCCTGGGCTGAAACTCCCAGAAGCCTTCATCACTTAGCTGTGCTAGCCAGGATTTCTAGGAGTTGTAGTCCAGGAAAATATAGGGTCCTACACCTGGGAACCACTGTTGGAGTTTTAGCAACCTACAGCTGGGAACCACTGTTGGAGTTTTAGCAACCTTCATAGACTGCATTTAAGAGGTTTGACTAGGAGGAGGGTTTCTGGGCTGGAGGACTGTCAATCAATCCAGCAGGAACAAATTGTTCTTTCCCTGCCTTTGATTTTGAAGAGAGCCATTTGTCTCTGCCTAAGAGTCTTTCTTTCTCCTGTTCTTTTTCAGTCAGCAGTCAGTTAGTGTTATAGTTAGGTATGAAGTCGGTATGCAGATATATAATCAGTGGTGCATTTAGCAGTTTATGCAATTAGAATGTAGTTTCCGAGTGTCTGCTGAAAACAGGCTCTGAGCCAGTTACCTGCTGTTCCTGTAACCAGTCATTTTTGTA